ATCGCATAAGGACGCTCGTTGCCCTGCCTCGCGCTTCCTTCAGTTCTGGATTCTACCTCTTTAGTCGAAGCGGCGCCCGTCCTCTCTCATCGTTACCGGCGTCACCTCAGTCTGTGGAAACAACTGTCGCACGAGGAACAGCGTTCGAGAATGCTTCCAAAGAGGTTCTCTATGAACTTTTTGGCATGGACTTGCAGAGAGTTGGGGGAGCTGGCGATGCTGGCGTCGACTTGCAAGGCTGGTGGTACCTGCCAGACTCCGCTACTGGTCCTCCCGAGCCTGCCGCTCGGGCGACGCCCGCAAAGCAAGAGGTCATGTATGCTGAGCATGTCAAGGATATGAACCACCCATGGAACGGGTTTTACGACTCGCCCGAACACTTTGCTCAGACAGTCAGGGGCCGGGTCAGCACAATCATGCAGTGCTTTCCAAAGCCATTTCATGGAACCTATTCAGAGGCCGTTGAGGCATCAAGATCACCGATGACGACTACAAAAATGGGCTGCGCAACCTACGGTGCCGGTGAGGACGAAAGAAACGAGATATACGAGCTTTACAGGGGTGTATGGCAGCTGAGATGGCTGGATCAGATCAGCGGTGACACAGCAGCACGCCATGAAGAAGGCACCAGAGAACAAGACTTGCATTCGCCTGATGCCCTTCCCCATCGACTTCGGGTAGTGGCTCAGTGCAAAGCGGAATCAAAGCCATTGGGTCCTGTCAAGCTGCGCGAGCTTGAAGGCACACTCGGTCGCATAACTCAGAATGCCAAAACTTCCGGTGCCCATTCAGCCTCTTCTGAAGCGGCACCCGTGGGTGTTCTAATCTCTCTAGAAGGCTTCAGCAAGCAGACGATTAACCAGACGATGAGCAGCTCCTTTCCCATTTTGCTCCTTCATCTCCAGCGCGGCATGGCTTGCTCGACCAGCTCCAGTCCCACAGACAGCCGGAGTCCGAGTCCGAACTTAGGTGCGAGAGGAATCGCTCAAGCTAATTCGTCATCGCGAGCGTCTGTCGAAGAGCTGCGCAACGCCAGCATGAGCTCCATAATGATGAATCAAGCTCTGTCCGGAAGCAAGGGCCCGTTGGGTGGACGACTCGACGTTCGCTGGACACATCGCTTGCAAAGCAATTACTCGCCCAGCTCAGTGCGGGGCAAATTGGCCTCGCCGCCACTACCCACCGGCTCGACACGTCGTCCGGCTCTGTTTTGGGATGGGAAGCTGCTGGGCAAACGAGGTCGAGAGCGTCAAGTCGAGCGATAGCTCTCTCTCTCTCTCTCATCAATACACACACTCTTTCAAGAATCACACACTCTCTTTCAAAAATCTTGCTCGCTTGCTCCATCTTTTTCTTTCTGGCTTTGCTTGCAAGGCTGCCTGCACATTTTGTTGCGCTATTCACGCCGGTCGGAATTTGTACCTTTTGACTGCTATGTCCGCTGCTTGTCACCTCAGCATTCCTATGTGTTGGTTTGAAAAGTGTGTATGCACCGGCTGAGCTTGACGTGCCTCAACCAGCTCAGCACCGCACCACCCGAACGTACTTCGGCTTCAGTGCCATCGACAGGTCAAAGCACCCGCTGTCAAGCAGCTTCACATCGGACGAATAGCCATTGAGACGTGAAGATTGGATGTGATTGCAGATCCGAGGGCATCGTGACACGAATGCAAACAGTGTGAATCATGGTTGAGCAAAGTGCGGGCACAAGCATTGGTCGTGAAGATTGAGATCTAGGAGCACGGTGACGTGGGAGCAACGAGTTGAAGTATTTTGAAGAGGGTAGAGGAGAGCATTGAGCGAACTCAAGTCGCTCCGTAAACCCAATACTATGAGTGCATTTACTGCTTTTCGCTGGTGACGGCCTCGAGAGCAGAGCCGACCTCGAGATGGAAGAAAGGCGTGAGACTCTGGTTCCACAGAATGGGAACCGAGACGCTGGATGCGTTGCGATCTTTGTAAGAAGAATTATCGGACAGGCCGCCTTGTTGACGGGAGAGGACAGGAGGCTGATCGTCGGCGGGACTGCTGTCCTTGCCGTCGAGAGAGTCAACAGAGGAATCGCGTCTGGCTGGAGCTGGGGTGATGCCGTCCTCGAGCTCCGCCCGGCGGCGGAGAGCGTCATCACCAACGCCGTTGAGAGCATCGTCGATGGCTCTGCCGCGTCTCTCAGCCTCCTCTTCCTCGCGAGCTTGCTGATCCTTGTGGCTAAGGCTTTCTCCCGGGCGAATGATAGGTGCGACTTCGGTGATATGACGAGCGGCGAGACCAGTACCGAAACCACCAGCGAGCAAACCACGACGAATCCAAGGCGAGAGGATTCCGGCAAAGTGGAACTCGACCGGGTGACCGCTGTACCTCTCGACGGCTTGGCGGACATCGACGAGCATTTGGATGGACGTCGTGTCGACATGAGGAACGGAGCTGAAGTCGAAAATGAAAGCGCGCAGCAAGGGACGGTTGTCGTTTGCCAGACGAGCCTCAGCCTCTACGGCTTCTCTGTACTTGGCGTCAGCCTTGCGAGCCGCCGAGCCGCAGAGGAAGGCACGTCCAGCACGGGCGAAGTAAGGGTTGACGGGTCCAGGGTCATTCCAAGGGCGGTCACCACGACTCTTGTAAAGGCTGGTGGTGGCAGGACGGGTTTGGACCTTGGCCTCTTCTATGAGCACATCAGCAAGGTGAGAAGCGTTGGGGTAGGTGAACGCCTCCTCGAACTTCCAGATGAGAACACCGGGAGGTGGTCGCTCGATAAGGATAGATGGGTCACGGAGACCATCCTTGTGCTCGAGAGGAAGGAAGACGTCGCGGTGAGCAGGGTGGGAGCTGGGACGAGTCCGGTCCTCATTGTGAACACGGACGCGACCGAGCCATTTACCGCGGGGCCGAGCGATGCGGACGAGCAGCAGCACGAGAGAAGCACCGACCGAGAAGTAGACACCAGCCTCGAGGTTGACGAAGATGGATAGAATGACGGCGCCGAGGAAGATGAAGAGCTCGAAAGGAGACACGAGCCAGAACTTGTAGGCGACCGAGAGCGGCGCGATGAGGTCAGTGACGGCGTGGATAATGACAGCTGCAAGCGCTGCGTTGGGAATCCAGAAGAACGTTCCGGTCAAGGCATAGATGGCGATCAGAACGATGATGGCGGTGACCCAGCCAGCAAGAGGAGTGCGGACACCAGACTTGCTCTTGATGGCGGAACGAGAGAATGAGCCGGTGGCAGCGTAAGCTCCGAAGGTGGGGCCGACAAGATTAGTCACGCCGATGGCGACGAGCTCTTGGTTGGGGTTGATTTTGTAGTTGTTAAGACGTCCGAAAGACTTGGAGATGGCAATGTGCTCCAAGAGCAGCACAATGGTGGAGACGGGAATCTCGGAGGCCATGTCGGAGAAAATCTGGGTGCTGAGCTCGGGCTGGCCAATGTGCTGGAAACCCTGAGGGACCTTCTTCAAGATCGAGATTGGGAGTTTTGCCTTGGGATTGCGCGCTACTGTGGGACCGAGCCAAATGCGAGAGGCAGCCGTAAGGATGATGATGACGAAGGCGTTGCGGAACACGCTGATGAAGAAGCATGTGCGCGCAAGCTTGGGGTACCGGCGCGGGATTGCAGTGCAGACCCATCGAACGAAGTAGAGGAAGAAGAGGGCGGTAAGACCGAAGGCTGCATCGAGGGTAGTGTTCGGCAGCGCCTTCAGGGTGTTGATGATGATTTCGTAGGTAGCAGGACCGCTGGTCTTGACTTGCGAGAGACCCATCAGCTTAGGCACCTGACCTGCCGCGATAGTAAAAGCAGATCCCGTCATGAAACCTGCAACAGCTGGTTGGGGAATGAACTCGACAATCCAGCCAAGTCTGAGCAGACCGATGCCGAGGGTGACGACACCGCAAATGAATGCCAAGGCGGAAGCGATGACTTGAGGACGGCCTTCGTAAGCGTTGGTCTTTTCCATGACGTGGCGAATGACGTTGGCGGTTTGCAGGGACATGACGGCGACAGGTCCAATCGTGACATCCTTGGAAGTGGCGAAGAGCACGTAGATGACGACACCGACGAAGGAAGAGTAAAGACCGTATTCGGGGGGCAGAAGGGCGACCTGAGCGTAAGACATGGACTGAGGGACGACGACGAGACCGACAGTGATACCAGCGATGAGATCACCGATCATCCATTGAGAGTTGTAAGACAAGATCCACTTGGTGAATGGAAAGAGCGAGTCGAGGTATTCTGCGGCCTTGCGTCCAGGTGATGAGAAGATGTCAGACAGCCAGCTTGAGCTGCTGACGAACGGCACGCCGTGCTTGTTGGCAGGTGTGTCATCGTAGCCAATGACGTTCTTCCAAGCGCGAAGTGCAAGATTGTCCGCCTTATGAGGGGCAGGAGCGCGTGGCTCCTTGCTGTCAAAGTCAGCCATGTTGACGTGGATGGGCGACGAAGGGTGAAGTGCGGGTGTTCAAGGAACCCGATCAGACAGATGAGTGGAAGGCAACAGAGCCTGAGCTTCGTGATGACAAGAGGGAATTGTTGAAGCGATTTCGAAGAGGGGGATTATATGCGCTTCGCAGCTTCTCAACGAAAGTGTGACGCCGGCTCAAGTTGAATTGGCCGTTTCTTGGTGGCGTCGAGTGGTGCAATTCTCCGACGTCACTTGTTTGTTCCTGCTGAAAGCGCGAGAACAGCGTCGAGTGGATGGGCAATGAGCAGCTTGCGATGGCGGGATGCGTCCTTGCAAGACTGGCCGAGGGCCGGGCGTCGTTTTGGGCAGGTCGAGAGGTGCGAAGGTCAGCCACAACGATCCTGCCAGGAACACATGTGGTCTAGACAACTGAGCGGGAAGATTGCAGTAGCGTCGTCTGTGGGAAGAAAGACGCGAGTTGGAGTCGTTGCAAAGCGAGCAGAGGTGAGTGAGGCTTGCTGGAGCTGGAAGCACTTGCTCTGTGGCGGCATGCGCGATCATTGCAGAGGCACGCGACGAGACAGAACCAAAGCCGCTGCTTGCCGTCGGGCGGTACGGCAACGAAGGAAAATTTTGCATTTGTGTAGGCGGGGCAGACAAGCGACATTCACGTTGGATTCCCGTCGGAGCAGAGCCTAGCCTGCGGAAAGGGTCGAGTCGGCTGGGTATATGGTCAGGTCGGCATCAGGCCAGAGGCGCTTGGGATGGTGCAAACTGATGGTTTGAGCACGCCATACCTGCTGACGGATCAACTCCGGCAATCCGAATACAAAAAATTGGGAGCAAAATAAAGCGCCACTCTAATCAGATTTACTCTTCGCCAGAGTTGACACTTGTGCATGCGCGGTCTGCATCCGGCGATCGTACATCGCACAGGCGCAGAGCCATGATGACGAAGCAGGCGCGCGTTCGGGTGCCCTCCGCGCGGTTTGGCGCGTACGCTGGAGGGGAGCACCGCGTTTCGGCGGGTGGCTAGGCTGGCGCGACCTTTCACACGTGATCTAGTCTGCAAGCATATCTGGTTAGTCTTCGAGACAAGCCGTGAGTCGTGAATGGTGAAGGATACCGCTAATGGACGATCAAGCATACGAAACCGCGCCCAAAGCGAGCTCCTTCAGATCTGCTCCACAGGGCTCATCTCCAAGTGATGAATGGATGCTTAGTCTAATGAGGCAGCGAGACAATTGCATTCAACATCCTGCCCCTAGCGCTGCTGCACACAAAAGGCGATACAGGACGCATTGGCCAAGGCAAGTATGGCGACATCTGCAGCAACGCAGACGAGTGGCTTGGCGTCCGATGTCACAACATCGAGTTGTCTTGCGCGAGCAGCTACATTACGACGCTTGTCGCTTAGGACGGCAACATAGCCTGCGGCTGCCTCGGTCCTGAGCCGCAGGGCGGTATGGATCCAGGCTAGCAGACCGCCGAACCGAGGCAGCCGCAGGGACGTGAGCCGCTCCTGGAGCCAGGCCCGATTGCGTGCTGCGGAGTCTGAACGTGAGCCCACGGCAGAGCGCGCCGCCCGAGCTAACCTCTTGTGGCTCTCACGCTCGCCTCTCTTCATTGAGGATTGTCTCATTGAACCGCCCGGCCAGAAGCATCTCGTGGCGAGACGTCGACTCGTAAATGCATCTGGACTTGATACATCGAAGCTGGGCCCCAATCTGCGCCGCCACACCTTAATTTACCTCAGCTTTCCATGCGACGTTAGTCATGATGCTGTATCGGATGGCGCGATAGCGACCGAGCACGTCGTTCTTTGAGCCTGGAATTCTGATTGCCTACGGTAGCCCCGTTTCTGCCTAGTCAGCGAGCCATCGGGCTCCGATGAAGAGGCTGTCACACGACGTGGAAATGTCTGACGCTCGACTTGCATAGAGCAACCTTATCGATCTCATTATCTGTGATCGAGTTGCTCGGCTAGGCCACCGCTCGGCTCTTGGGGGCAGACAAGGCGTCATATTCGACAAAGTGCACCGGCCACGGTGGAGACCAGGCTTGCCCGTTCTGATGTCACGATTTAGCCTCTAATACGTGACCAGCGCTAGCAAGGATGACTCACGACACTAAACGAGCGATTTTGTGATTGGAGCACTGCTCGAAATCCGATCCCCAGAGTTCAACGACATCGACGAGCCCGTTGCGCGATGCTCCTTAGTGAGCTTCCCGGGCTCAACCTCTCAAGATGACAACTCTCTCACAATGACACAGGTGTCGGCATCGGCAGGCAGGTAGCCTGACTTCAAGGTGTAGGTATCCAGCTGGCTCTGACCCCGAGAATAACATACCTTCAGCGAGGCACATATGGTCACACAGTCAGACGGCAAAGGAAAACATGGGCTGCAGGTAATGAGACATGAAGAAGGTTGTTGACGTCAGCCATGATTCAGCAATGATCTTGTCCGTCCTATCATGCGCTCAAGCAGGATGGACAGGCAAGAGACCTTAGACAACGTTGCGGTCTACACGATGCTCTCATTCGAAGCGCTACACGGTCGAGGGGAGCAGTCAAGCATCTTCGACAAGGCAATG